TGACCTCTGATCTGCATTCCACAGGGATCCCAAAAGGTGGAATCCCTCAGTGGCTCAGTATCATTTAATTCGACACTTAGAAGTTCTGAGCTAATTAGTGCTTTTTACGAAGCTGTTTTCACCAGAAAAAAAACTGATTACTTGAAAATTAAGCTCCTGAAATATCTTCTAAACAACTGAGCCTCTTATGAATTTTTCCATGTATTTTATCTAGGTTAAGTAACTAACTTCCCAGTCTCCCTTCCTCCTCAACATTTATAAAACACCAGCAACAGCTCAATTGCTTCCTACATTACGGTACCAATCAAAGATCACACCGTGCAAGGCTCTGGATGTAACAGCAGCATCCAAAATCTTCTCTGCCCTGATTAAATATTTATAACAATTGGATGGGAAAAGAGTAACCTCCAGGCTTCAAAGAAACAAATTCCTTTTGTGATTCTAAACCTACATTATTGGCTTGTTGATCTACAAAGGTGTCATTGTTTCACAATACAAATGAAAGCAAGTGCTAGCATAATTCAGACAGGGAGAAGTATCTCCTTAATCAGTGTAAGGAGGATCCCACTTAAACTGGATCTTTGTAAGACCAGCATTGCCACATTCCACATCATTTCCCTCTCACTGATCTTTATATCATCTTTCTTCAGGCTGCAACTCTCCGAGTTTTGCTTCTGCCTCAGAGACACACCCTGGTCTCGCAATGTGTTTTCCTTACTATTTGCCCTAAGAATTGTACACATGGACATAAACAAACGATGTCGAGCTGATGACTGAAGTAAAAGGGGATTGAACCTTTTTACCAAATGGAAAGTCTGGGATATGTAATTACTTCTGTTGATCTTCTGAGCTTCTGTCATCGTCAGCAATATGCAAGAGTGAAGATCCCAGAAAAGCTTTAAGCCTAATATTTATAAACTGGCATGAAAAAGGTCTTTGATTAAAAAAAGCAGGGGCTAACGGCATCATGTTCCTCGGCAAACTCCCAGGTCTCAAACTCCATCTCTTCTTCTATTTCATTCCTCATCTCTGAAACCAGCACGCAATGTCAGGAAGGGCTCCTAGTGACCAATTCTCTTACCAATAATGTTAACCAACATATCCCACTGTCCACCATCATTCGTGGGGTTGGAGAGCAGGAACTGTATCAGCCTTCCTTCCACAGGCTCCTTCTTCTGAGCTGTTTCCACAAAGGCATTTAAAAAATAGTAACAACGTTCGACCTGGAACGGACAGACAGGAAAAATAGATATTTTAAGTGTGACATTGTGCATTAATTCATTCCTGAGCATTCAGTTCTTTGGAAGTCCTCACTAGATGAAGCTACTTTCTGCTCATCTACTGAAGTTCTTATTTTCCCTCTCGCATTCCAGGGCTCATCCGATAAACTTACTTCTGTCACAGACCAAACATTTAGGAGAGAGTTAGCACAGAGCTTGAGGGTAGGGGAACAGGAAACGTGAAACAGGAGTTATGCAATGAAGCCTGGCCCAAACTAGTACTAGACTTTCTCGATTTCCCTTAGGGGGAAAAACCAGGCACACAGCTCGCGCACACAAGCACGACTGAAAGCTCAACAGAAAGTTACAGTCGTGTTTCCCCTGAGCCTCCTACAACTTTTGAAACACGCACAACACTTGAAAGAAGACTTTTACTATTCCAAAACATGAACATCTCGACAACTAACTTCTCAAGCTGAAAGTCCCGCTTTGCTCAACCCACAGTTAAAACATAGATTTAAAGAACTTTTGAAGTTTCTTCTCATGTACGTTTTCCACCCGGGTTGTTAAGATGGTCCAGCCTACACAACATTCTGTCCCCGTACTAACGCCCAATTGCATAAGCCGTCCCAGCACAACCTGCGCCCTGTGCTACTGTACCTTATCCCAGAAAAAGAGATAGGACTGGCTGAATTCAAACTCTTCAATGTTGTATTTCTTCATGAAAGGAAGACGCATTGCATTGAGACAGGAAAAGATCCAACATCTCCCTGAGAGATCAAAGGAACAAGAATTAAACCGGAATGTTTAAGAGCTGCGTAAGATTTTTTTTTTTAAAAAACACAAGATTCATGACACCGTTCCGCCTCAAGCCTCTGGCCACCGTTCTGATTGTAAAATACCAAAAAGCTCACAAGAAGTTCCGAAATCTTTTACTGCAAATGCAGGCCTCGCAACCGATTTTATCCCGTGCTAGGCAGAAGGGAAAAGGGGCAAACGCTGCAAGTCCAGTGGCTGCTGTTAACTGGGAGGGACGCTGCAGGGATTCAGTTTTGCTCCGAGCCCGACAAAAGGACTTCTGAGGAGGCCAGGAGCGCTCCTCAGCCTTACATCATTCATTCCCCAAACGCC